TTAATAGTATTGTCTTGTGAAAATAGCTAAAACTTGTATCCAAACAAACCAAACTCGCTGCCATCTAGTCAATCCTGACTCATAGCAATCCCCATAGGGTTTCAAGGTTGTAAATCTTTATGGACGCAGACTGCTTCATCTGTTTCTGTGGAGTGGCTCATAGGTTCAAACCACCAACCTTTTGGTTAGCAGCCAAGCACTTTAACCACTGTGCCACCAGCACTCCTTTAATATTTACTACACCTTGTTATGGGAGCTCTGGTGGCATAGTGCCTAAGGCATTTGACTACTAACAAGAAGGCTGGCAGTTCAAAGCCACCAGCCACTCCACTGAAGGAAGATTGGGCAATCTACTTCCATAGTGATATTGCCTTCAGAAACCCAAAGAGGGGTCGCTGTGAGTCAGATCTGACTCAACAGCAGTGAGTATACCTTGTTATGTGCTAGGAACTCTAAAATAGACACATACACATGAATTCTGTTAATCTTTATACTACCATGTAGTGCTTATGAGGTTAAGAGCAGATTCTGGAGCCAGTCTACCTAGGTGTAACTGGACTCCTCTGACCATTTGACCTTGGGCAAGTTATTAAAACTCTCTGTCCTCCTGTTTCTTTCTCTGAGTGACAGAATAATGATAGTTCCTTCCTCATAGGGTTTTTATAAGGGTTAAAGTTTGATAAATGTAAAATGCTTACTCAGAACAGTACCTGGTACATATTAAGCACTACACAGGTTTTAAAGGAGCTCTGGTAGTGTGACAGTTAAATTTGTATGTCAACTTGGCTGGGCCTGGTTGAGTAGCTGGGGAGCTAGTGGTAGTTATTCCCCATGATGAGACTGGCAATCAGCTCCATGGTGGGATCTACCACAAGCAACTGTTGCTTTGGGATGTTGTCTGCTTCCTGTATATAAGGAGAAGCCTTGAGAATAGTCTCTAGCTTATGGCAAGCTTGGACCCTGCATGTAGTTGTGTCGTTGTTCAGCAGCCTGCCATGCTCTGCCAAACTGGGGACTTACAATGGACTTGAATTAATGGTCTGCCCTGTGGTTTGGTAACACCGGGGCTGTGCCTTTTTACTTGTCAACTTTGGGTTTGGCAGCCTCTGCAGCTAGCAGCTGTCTGATGAAGAAAAGCCTCTAGCTTCAGTGGGCCAGGAGCTGGAGGCAGAGCTGAAGCCCAAGGCTGAGGGGCTTTCACCCAGCCCCTAGAGCCTGGCACTTTGAACTTGGACTTAAAGCCTCCAAACTGTGAAAGAATAAACTCCTGTTTGTTAAGGCCATCCCATTAGTGGTATATTTTGTCAGAGTGGCACTAGGTAACCATAACAGGTAATGTAGTGGTTAAGGCATTTGGCTACTAACTGAAAGGTTGGTGACTAGAACCCACCAGCTGCTCCTCAGAAGAAAGATGAGGCACTTGGCTTCCATAAAGATTAATAGCCTTGGAAACCCTGTGGGGGTTGCTATAGGTAAGAATCAACTTAATGGCAATGAATTTTTTTTTTTTTTTTGAGTACTACTACTATTATTAGGAGCTCTGGTAGTATAGTGCCTAAGGCACATGACTGCTAACCAGAAGGCTGGCAGTTCAAACCCACCAGCCACTCCTCGGAAGGTTGGGCAATCTACTTCCGTAGTGATACTGCCTCGGAAACCCAAGGAGGGGTCGCTATGAGTCGGGTCTGACTCGACGGCACATAAAAACAACAACAACTACTATTATTAATTGTTACTGACATGAGAGCTACAGTGAAATCTGTGAGAGCCAGAACTAGACGGACACCTTGTTTTTCCAGGCCTCACAAGTTTTATTTCTTTGGTACAGTCACCACTTTTCTATCACTCTCCATTTTGTGGACAGTATGTGAGCTTTCCTTCTCTGACAGGTTTCCTTCTGCCTTACACAGGTTCCAGCATTTGCAGGTTTTACTATAACTCAATTTGTACTTTACTAATATTGAAATCAGTCTCTCAAGTCCTCCACTCACACCAGCCTCACCAGGTTTTATTTCATTCTTGGATAAACTAGACTATTCAGTTTACATTTAAAAAAGTATAATTTATATGTTATCTTGACTACTGTTTTAAGTCTCTCAAGATCCTCATGGTCCTCTATTTCTATTGGGCCTGTCCATAACTTCAGCTTACTCTTGCTCCTCGGTTAATGAGCAGAGAAGACCATGAGACAGAAAACTTCTCCCAGTACAAATACACACAGTCTGACAGAGGTGACTAGGAAATTCTTTTATTCTGATTTTATTGATTCTTGAATCTTCTTTAAAGTACAAAGATTTATTTGACCATTTACCTTTTCTAACTACTATCCTATTTATTATTTTCTCCTCATTGTCAATTTCTCCTTCAAAGAACCACTGTTCCATGAAAATGCTGAGTTCATAGTGTTCTTGGAGTATCTTCATCCTTTCTCTTCTCTAAATCTTATCTACTTTTTTTAGGTCCAATTTCAATTTCACTTTCCCCATCAACAGTGAAGATGGACTGTACCAGTCTTGACCAATGCCTTCAACTGAGCACTTGTGGTCAATGTTATTATGCAAGTAGCACTTACCAGACTTTTTTGCACTGATCACTATTGTTTTATGAGACTATGAAAATTCCCGAGGGCTGAAACTATATTTGTACTTTTACAGCTCTCTCACTGTCTAGCAAAATGCCAAGGCCCTAATAAATGTCCATTATTGATCTGTATAAAATGTAAGATAATTGCACTATATTATCTTATAATATATCAAAGCTGAATCTAACCAAATACATACATACACAGTCTTCTTGTGTTGGCTGAAGCCCTAATATTGGAAATTTCCCTGTGTAATCCAAGTGTTACAACTGTGTTTTCTCTAATGGATGTCTGTATTTCAGCCATTTTGTTTCTACCACTATTTTAAAAAATAATATTGCAGTATCTATCTGAAATCTCTTTTCTTTTTCAACCTATGTGGGAGAAGTAAGCATGAGCAGTGATCTCTTCTCCCAAATGTTTCACTGTTATTCTTGCAGTTCTCCTCCAACATGGTAGTCTTCTTAATCAAAGACGGAACCAAAGAATGAATCAGGGAAAAACTTGCTATTCAAGGAATATCTTACATCAAATTCATTTATGAAAGATTTTCAAGATAGGAGGATTACAGTTTTTAACTGTGTTATCTATGAATCTTGTTTCTTCTGATGTATTAGTCTTGTTTCTGTGCCTTTTGTTTATTGTTTTACTATTCTTTACATGTAAGTTTGAGTATCTGATGAGATCTGAAAACAGAATACCTTTTCTGAAATTAGTACTTTTATACAGGCCTGTTGATTGGACTTTTACTCTCCCAAGAGTCCCCTGGTAAAGAAAACTCTTCTTTAAGTATCACCCATTTACCTAAGGAAAGAATAAAAGAAATATCCCTGGAAAATTCTTGGTTTTCTCTATTCAAACCACTGGGATGTAGGAAAAAATAAAAGTATCTGAAACTGCTTTAATTTCTCTTTCAAGTTATTATTACTCAGTAGAAGACTGCTTTGTGGTGTGTGTGAAAGCAAGATTTTGCAGTCTATGACTTTTTCCCAGGACATTTTTTTTTTCTTGAAGAGAAGATGACATTTCTCCAGATGTTTTTCTGGGTAAGTATTTTTAAATAAACAAAGGAAAAAGTAGCTGAGTGATTTCTTTACCCCCACTCTAAAGCTGGGCAATATAGTATCTTAGCACAATCCATGTACTAATACTCCATAGAATAATACCGTTACATTCAGTTGTAAGGTCTAGAGGGACACTTATCACATGGTTATTCTGATCTTTAGGCTGTATTGCCTGTGGAAGGCCATGCTATATGGCTTCACTGTTATAAATCTTCTCATGTAGATGTTGCTTTTCATAATTACTATCTGTGTCTTTGGGAGGCTAGGAACACAATCACATGACAAAGCACAGTAAACAAAAGACATGTCATCCAGTCAGTTCTCTAAATATTAGATTTTAAAGAGGCACCAGCCTATCTATGACACTCAGGAATGAGCCTGCTGTCTTTTCCCATCAGAAGGTTAGCAGAGGACATGGTTACTACATTGCTACAATTCTTTTTACATGAAGTTTTCTATTTATTATAAAGGGAATGTGATTACAGAGCTTTCTGAAATTTCCTCAAGGTATCTGACATTTGGAATTTCCTTAAGAGATCTATCCATTAATTGAATCACCCGCACTCTGATGTATGCTATGTGTTAAAACTTACATTATCCCTTTGAGGTAGGTATACTACAATCTCCATCTTATTTGTTATTTGTCATCGAGTTGGCCCCGACTCATAGTGACCTCTCCTTGGGTTTCCAAGGCAGTATCACCATGGAAGTAGGATTGCCCAACCTTCCTTCTGAGGGTTTGAACCGCCAGCCTTCTGGTTAGCAGTCAAGTGCCTCAGGCACTACACTACCAGAGAGATCAGAAAATTAAAGGATAGGGAGATTAGCTACCTGACCCAAGTCACACAGGGACTGTGGGGCAAGGCTAAGATTTGAATCCATGCCTGACAGCAGAGCCTGAGTTCTCCAACACTGACAGTGCTATACTGCCTTCACTAAGACCAGAAGCCTCCTTCTACTGAGTACTTACTGAGTACCAAGGACTGAGCTAAGCACTTATCAAATATTATTTTTTTCATCCTAGCATGAAATTCCTCCTATTATGAACCAGACTTAACAATTTTCTAAAGATTTTAAGCTGGGTCTACACAAACTAAAGCAAAATGCCTGGTAATTATCTACTGAAATACAGTTCTGAACATAAATATTTTTTTTTAATTTCAGGCCAAATGCTTTACTTTTTCCCCAACACAATACTGGGCTTGCATTATTTTTTCCCATTTCCCTTAAATATAACCAGAGTACACACGGGACTTGTACCAAAATTCTGTACCATCAAATCTTGCTGTGACTTTTACTTTAAGAAATACAGTTTAACAGAAACATCTTCTTGTTGTGCAGGGGAAAAGTCTTACCGCTGTATGTAAGAATTATTCACACCGCGATGGTCCAAATCATGACTTAGTGCAGCAATAAGCAATGCGAGTATCTCCAGGTCAGTCAGCTTGCTCTGTGTGACCAAAGACATTGAAGGAGAGCAAGAGAAAAATACAACGTGAATAACATAAAATTATACCATCTCTTCCCAGTAATCATGTATGTTTTTCCTCAGTATTTTCCTAAGTGTTTAATAATCACAAAAGACTTCAGGTAAAATCTTATTCTGCAGGGAATCAGATGTATTTTGCCATTCAGGTTCGGGTTATCACAAATGTCACTAATCGACAAAAATAGTCTAAAAGTCTCAAAAAATCAGTAACTCGCCCAACTACAGTAAATACCATTAATTCTTAATTATCTATCTCAATTGCATATGTGCATATATGGAATATGGAATCCCTGGGTGTTGCAAACAGTTAAGTACTTGACAATTGGCCAAAAGGATGGTGGTTTGAACCCACCCAGAGGTGCCTTACAAGACAGGACTGGCAATCTGCTTCAGAAAATTCACAGCCTGGAAAACCCTAGAGAGCATAGTCTTACTCGGCACACACAGGGTCATCTTAAGTCAGAATTGACTCAATGGCAACTAACAACAACAACATATATGGAATAATCATAAAGCACTTTAAACAACAGTTTCCTGTCTGTTAGTTCCCTGCACACTGTGCTGACTTTACTCTCTCTCAGTTGCTGTATCCTTAAGGAATGTAGACAATATGAATATTAAGCAAAACAATGGAAAAGAGATAATAGGAATAAAAATTTTTAAAATTTGCATAATATATCCCAAAGCCAAGCAGAGGTTATTTTTGAACATCTGTCATTTGTATTATCTATACTACTGTTCTCTTTCATGAGTAAGAAAAAACAAGTTGAAACTATTGTTGGCTCTATTCTATTGGAACTCCAACACTCTAAACAGCTTTTACGGCACACAAAAAAAATGATCATTTTGTTATTTCTCACGAAATGCAAGCATAGTCTTCAATGGTGATAATCTGTATAACCTTTTCATGCCCCAAGATAAATTTAGCCTATTTCTTATAAATGTGTGCTACAACAGGAAAATAAGATTATGATATTTCTTAGGGTTTCTTGGATAGCAATCATGTCTTTTAAAGCCCACCAGTTAAAATGGGCATCTTATGAAATTAGAGATGAAGAATAACATTTTTAGAATTTATTAAAAAAAAGAAAAATACAAAAGGCAGGAAAGCTCTTAACTGGAAAAAGTTATATGATGGATGGATGCCTAGAAACACTTACCTAGATTAACTAGTCGATTCCCACTGAAGTTAGAATCTAAAGACAGAGATATGAACAAAATTTGGCCTGGAAAGGAATGAATGAATTGAACAGTTTCTGCATTGATCTTCCTGGTGAATAGTCTCTGGTCAATGTATATGAAACCAAAACTTTCTGATTAAAGGGTACTTGTAAAATTGACTGATGGACTCGAACAGGCTGGCAAGTGTGAGTATGACACGGGAATGGGTAACGTTTAGTTCTGTTGTAGATAAGGTTGTCACGAGTCAAAACTGATTCAAGGGCAAATAGCAAGATGAGTAACATAAAATTGACTGGCTGCTCCAGAGAAAATCAGATAAAGGACCCTGGATGTAAGTCTGAAGCCAAGTTCAGGACTTTGATGGTTTTAGTGGAACTCTACTATGTAGTGTGTTGAATGTGAGAAAAGAGAGTATTTTTTTCTTATCAATACTACAGAGTTTTCCCCTAAAGAAAATATTTATTTGCCCAAAGACCATTTAAGAGTAAGTTAAAAAAAAAAAAAAAAAGATTTTAAAATATGCCATATATATTACATATGAAAGAAAATCAGCAATTATTTTGCCATACTAGTCCTCTTTAAAGGAGCCCTTGTGGTGCAATGGTTAAGTGATTGGCTGCTAACCAAAAGGGGGGCTTCAACCCCCCCAGCTGCTCCATGGAAGAAAAGACCTGGCGATCTGCTCCTGTAAAGATTTCAGCTTAAGAAACTCTATGGGGCAGTTCTACTCTGTCCTATAGGTTTGCTACGAGTCAGAATAGACTGTGGCATAAAACCACCACCAAAATCCAAAAACCAAACTCACTGCCATCGAGTTCCATCTGACTCATAGTGACCTCTCCTTGGGTTTCTGAGGTGATTATCACTGCAGAAGTAAATTGCCCAATCTTCCTTTCGAGGAGTGGCTGGTGGGTTTGAACCGCCAGCCTTCTGGTTAGCAGTCAAGTGCCTTATGCACTCTGCTACCAGAGTTCCCAAAACAACAACAGTCCTCCTCAATTAACAAAATATAATTTTTTATGTAAATAGAAGTAAATCATCTTTAATGTACATTAAAACTTAAAAAATATGTTGTACATTTGTACTATTAAAACAACGAAATATCTTAAACATATGAATAGCTCTAAAGAGTACCTGGATTTTGCCTGCTTTTAAAGCAGCAAACATGCACTGAGCTGTATTGAAGGCATGTCTCCAATTATGATAGGCAACATTCTTCCGATAATTCTTCTTAACGCTTAAAATCCAACTGCAAAGAACCTGTAGGAAATAAAACATAAGCAACAACAATAATTGCTAACACTGATCACATTGCAGGTACAGTATAAAGCTGTTGTTGTTGTTGTTAAGTGCTGTCAAGTCGTTTCCAACTCACAGTGACCCCATGCACAGCAGAACGAAACACAGCCCGATCCCACGCCAGCTCCATGATCCCTGCTATATTTGAGCCCTTCGTCGCAGCCACCATGTCAATCCATCTTGTTGAAGGCCTTCCTCTCTTTTGTCAACCCTCCAGCTTACCAAGCATGACATCTTTCTTCAGGGAATGATCACTTCTGACAACATGACCAAAGTAGGTGAGATAAAGTCTGGCCATTCTTGCTTCCAAGAAGCTCTTGTGGTGTAGTGGATAAGGCATTTGACTGATAACAGTATAAAGCATCCACATTTAATCCTTATAGTTTTGTGAGGGAGGCACCACTTTTTTCAGCATTTTGCAGATGAGGAAAATGACTCTCAGAAAGGTAAAATACATTCCTTAAGATCATGCTGCCAGTAAAGGATGGGGCCAAAATTCAAACTTGAAGCCTTTTAACTTCAGGGCCCACCATATTAACTAATTTATATGTGAAATGTAAGACAACTCTAAGACAGTTATTTTTGTCATGAGCAGAGCACTGACTAGCTTTTTAAAAGATACTAAGACCATGTGTCATCAATGAGGAGAGTCCAAATAGATAGTCACACATATATATAAATCCAACTTGGGAGACCCTTGCTCCCATTTTGTATGTCTGAGATGGTATTTAGTATAAGGCTTTGAGATTGGATTGGGGGAAGGATATAGATCATGTATCCAAGGACATATTGGAGTTGTAAGTCCTAATACAATTATATCTTTGTTTCTTTGAAATCACCCTCAAATATACTGCTAGGTTATTAAGAAGTAATTTAAATAATAATGTTGTTGTTGTTATATGCCGTCGAGTCGGATCTGACTCATAGCGACCCCTCCTTGGGTTTCCGAGGCATTATTACTACAGAAGTAGATTGCCCCATCTTCCTTCCGAGGAGTGGTTGGTGGGTTTGAACAGCCAGCTTTCTGGTTAGCAGTCAAGTGCCTTAGGTACTACGCTACCAGAGCTCCCTAAATAATAATAATAATAATAACAACAACAACATATATATAAATAAAGCCCTGGGTCCATAAGAAAAAAATACATTTTAAAAGACAGAGAAAAAGGATAGGCTCTTCCCAGTCTCA